GCCGCTTGTCCTGGGCCCTCTGTCCCTGCACAAAATTCCCCCTGCAAGGGCAGAGATTGCCACCGGTATGTCTTGGACGTAGCCACTTGGGTGAATAGACCATTCCACTGTCGCTTTCTTCGTCGCAGGGAAGAAGCGGGAGTTCAGGTTTCACCCGATCAAAGAAACCATCGTGGAGGAACCTGTTGATATCACGCCCTTCCTGGACCAGCTGGATGAGTCGCTGAAGGATAAAGTCCTGCAGCTGCAGAAGGGAAGGTTGGTATTGGTTGGTCGGGTTGATCTCTTCAAGGCAACAACACGCAAGACCTTCTAGTCCTTTCGTACGATGCTTCTTGCTCCAGACTCCTCTTGGAGCCGACGCTGTCTTGTGCCGTGTTCCCCTCCTCCACTCTTGATTTTCCGTGACCTTGGAATTAACTCCATTTCAAGAAAGTCAAAAAAAGCTCTTTGCAGACCTTGGCATGGGAAGACTAACTTAATTTATGTCTTTAAGTGCATTTTATCTCGTGATTTTAGATATTTAATTAGTTTTTCTTGCTGCAGACAGCCTCGGGCGCTTTGCTGAGTAGGTGCTGCAGCGGTGCGGCGCATTCTGCAGCTTCTGAGCCGTGCCTGCCTCAAAGCCTGGCACAAAGCAGAGCCCCCCTGCCCCAGATCTCAGGTTCTAGGGGACTGGTTTGCTCCTGAACAGAGCCAGCTCAGCACAAAGCCCCCTTGTCCCTGCTCTCGGTATCTTCCTATGTAACTTGGATTTCCTCTTGTTTTTGTGCTCCAGCGATACGGAAGCTCAGTGTGAGGTCATGCAGGAAATCGTGGATCAAGTCCTGGAGGTAACTGCGCAGACCCGGCTCTGGGAAACCAGAATCCTAAACGAGTCTGAAATGGCTCAGTGCAGCTCGACCGTGGCTGCCAAACACCAGCTGCTGCTCGCCAGGAGGGTCTAGCGGGGGAAGATCACTCCCTCCGTGCTCTGTTTCCTTACTCCCCGTGCCTAAAAGTCCCCAATATTTGCTCTCAGATGGGACGTTTTGACCCCTGCAGAGCTTCTCAGGGGGCTCGTGGTTCGTCTGAGATGCTCCTTTGCTCTTGGCTTTGTGCTGGGGAGAAGAGCTGCGGATGTTTTCCAGGAGCTGAGAGTTCCAGGGGGGTTACATCCCCCGCCTCTCATCAGCTCCTTTTCGAGTCAAGTGGCCTTTTAGCAAGTGAGAGCTGCTTCTCCCCTCTGTGGCAACCCCAGGAAAGGGCTTGTCAGGGTGTCAGTCCTCGTCACCAAGTGCCTTCGGTCCCTTTTAGCCCTTTGCAGAGGGAGACCTGAGCTCGGTGAATTAGTAGCCATTAGCAGATAAGTGGACCGCGGCGATTGTGAAGTGCTTCAGAGCTGGACTCCAATTAGGGGCTTGTCTTGCTGATCATCAGCCCCTGGTGCTGCAATGGAGCAGCAAAAACGGCTCCTGAGCAGCTTGGGCTCTGTTTCCAGCTGGGCAGGCAGGGTCAGAGTTCGTGCTTTCTCCTCTCATTCCTTCCTTTCTCTCTACCAGGAGGACTTCGACTCGGAGCAGTTATCGGTGCTCGCGTCCTGCCTCCAGGAGCTATTTAAGGCTCACTTCCGCGGTGAGGTTTTGCCAGAAGAAATCACAGAGGAGTAAGGATCTGGGCTTATTTTTTGTGTGTGTCATCCTTTCGCGCTGGGACTTGGGCTTTTCTCAGTACTCACCGTTTTCAGAAGGCTTCGCCGAAGCCAGCAGCTTCCCCTAGGAAGCGATCCAGGGTTCACAAGCGGTCAGCGTGGAGCTAGACGAGGCTTGTCAGGCTCCAAAGAGGCCGTCCTCCTCCTCCTCCCCAGAAGTCCAGGGAGAACTTGCTGCCACAGGTCCTTGTGTCAGAGCTGGGTTTAGACGATGCTCTGGTGGCTCCTGGCTGGCTGATGGGGGCACACGAGATCCCCAAGACTCCTTCTGTCCCTGCTGTACTTGTGGGTTTTGTTGGAACAGAGCTGGGAATCGGAGCTGCTGGGTTCTCTTAGCAGCCCCGTTCCCATCTCCTCGTTAGCCAGGGAACCCTCGGTGGGGCGAGGACGATGGCGAGTGAGGTCCAAGGCTTTTTCCGGGCCGTGGCTGGGGAAACCCGGAGGATGGGTGCATGTAGAGCTCTGACTGTTGCGTTTGACCCACAGGTCTCTGGAGGAGTCGGTGGGGAAGCCTCTCTACCTAATATTTAGGTATGTCCGTGCTGAAATCTTGGAATTACCTCGTTAGGGCGTTGTTTCCTTCCTGACCACCACCGTGGATGAACCCTCTGGGTCTTAATTCCACCACGTCCCTGCTTGCCCCAGGGCTGATCCCAGAACCAAAAAGTTTATGAATCCCTGCTGCGTTTCGTTGAGTAGAAAGACCCCAAATCCAGGGAAATGGCAGCTCTTTTGGTCATTTTGTGGAAGCCTGGGATCTGTGGTGCTGCACCTCCCGGGGGGCTCTGCGGCAGGGGGGGGGGGGGGGGCCCATGTGGGCACGGG